AGAAATCCTGAAATCAATGCTTGACTTTGTTTCAAGATTTGAGTTCATCTCTTTTGCACACAAACACGCTTCTTGCGGAGATGCATTAAGGAGCACTGTGTGCTTTGATTGTAGTCATTTCTGGAAGGCATGGCGTATTGTCCCTATCATTCTTCTGAACATTTAATCACTTAAATGTTTCACATTAGCTGCACCTAATGTTTGTTTTTTTTTTTTCAACATAGTACACAGGAAATCACATGATAACAAACTGTTTTTGTTTCTCAGCTGCTCAGTTCATCAAGCAGAAACTTCCAGACCTCCTGCGGTCATACGTTGACGCAGATCTTGGAGGAAACCAAGAAGGTGGCTTCCAAGACATTGCCATAGAGGTGCTGCACCTACTGCTCTCCCATCTACTGTTTGGACAGAAGGGAGCCAGTGGGGTAGGGCAAGAGCAGATTGACGCCTTCCTCAAAACACTTTGCCGAGGTATGCAGGATCAGTTGGGGGGGCTGATTGTAAATCTTAAATATGCACGCAGACTGACTCGATATGGTGAAACGTCCAGTTTTGTTTTCCCAATCTGACTCTGCCACGCTTTCTGTGTGTTGTTGTCAGATTTCCCCCAGGAGCGCTGTCCTGTGGTGCTCGCACCACTGCTGTACCCTGAAAAACGGGACATTCTCATGGACAGGATCCTACCTGACTCGGGGGAGTTAGCTAAGACCAGGATGGAGAGTTCTCTTGCAGAATTCATTCAAGAAGTTGGTTATGGTTTCTGTGCTAGGTGAGTGCGGCTTGTTTGAAACTGTGTGAACAAAGTGATTTAAAAGAAATAAACCTGTGACTACAGTTATTTGTCTTGTATCTAAATTCTAAGTAATCATTTGAACGACCGTGTGTTGGCACCAAGAAGCTCTTGCGTGTTTGGTAAATTGTGTTAAATAAATATGAAGTCTTTTTATTGTTTGAACACGCTTTATCACAAACCTCAAAGTGAGTTATTACTTAATCCTGTCCTAATATAAGTTCTGTTCTGAAATTACATGCGAGTGCTCAGTAATGACGGATTGTTGGCAACCTTGACCTTTTCTTTCCTCTCTTCAGTCTGGACGAGTGCAGAAACATAATCGTCCAATATGGGGTGAGAGAGGTGACGGCCAGCCAGGTAGCCAGAGTCCTGGGCATGATGGCTCGTACCCACTCTGGTCTAACTGACGGCATCCCACTACAGGTGAGACACTTTATTTGACGGAGGGGACAGGAAACTGTAAGAACGCTGTTTGGTTTGCTTCATAGTTTCTCTTCACACAGACTTGCCATGAAAAGTGCAAACATGAAGATTCAAACTGCTGTTTTTGCTGAGTGCAGGAGACCGTCTAGCAGTTCACACTGTTTTATTATCAACCAGTTAAAGATTTGGCTAGCACAGCTGTGGACTTCTCAATGTCAGGCAGCTTCTCCGTGTGCACGTTTTATTTTCAGTCGGCCTTAACTGACAGAATGAAGTCGAATAGAGTTCCCTGTTATCACACAAGGCCGAGCAGCCCTTCTGTCTGATGCTGTGTAAGCATGCAGCGGTTCACCTTCGACACTCTGCTCTTTCTGTCCCTCTTAGTTAAGCCTTCACACTGTGGGCTTAATGTTAAAAAGAAACACTATCAAAACCCAGGCGTACCTGCTTTGCTCTTTATTCTCTTGTTTTTAAATGTGAGTGCACTCTGTCCCGTGGTACTGGACAAAGGTGGAGACAGTGGCTCAAACACAGATTTTGATGGCTTTCCTCTTTCTGCAGTCCATCTCTGCTCCAGGAAGCGGTATCTGGAGCGATGGGAAAGATAAGAACGATGGTTCGCAGACACATACGTGGAACGTCGAGGTCCTCATCGACATTGTCAAAGAAGTGGTAAGTGAACTGTCAGTTCATCTGAAAACCAGAAATTTTCCAGGAAACACTGAAATGGAAAACTTCACAAAAATAAAAAATCCTTTTTAATGACTGAATTTTCACTGCTTATTTTTTTTTTAACCTATACTCTAGAATCCCAATCTCAACTTCAAAGAGGTGACATATGAATTGGACCACCCGGGCTTTATAATCCGAGACAGCAAAGGCCTGCAGGTCGTGGTGTATGGGATCCAGAGAGGGCTGGGCATTGAAAGTTTCCCTGTGGATCTCATCTATCGGCCTTGGAAACATGCTGAGGGACAGGTAACTTATGTGCACCGAGAGGGTAAAAATTCAGTTGTGTTTGGGGAAAATTATGAGAGGAATTGTTGTCAAGTTGGAATAGATTTGTGTAGTTTAATGCATCTTTTCTGTATTTTTCCAGTTGTCATTCATTCAACACTCCCTGATGAACCCAGAAGTGTTTTGCTTTGCTGACTACCCTTGTCACACTGTGGCCATTGACATCCTCAAGGCCCCACCAGAGGATGACAATAGAGAGATTGCCACATGGTATGGAAATTGAATATCACCTTGCCTCTGCAGAACGGATTTTTCTTACTGTGGCTTCAGATTTTGCTTTAAAGCAGTAAAAATGTAATTGAGGTGTCCTTGATGGTCTCTTAAACTGGAGGCAAAGTTGGACCTCTGTGTGTACTGAAGTGTTCACGTTAAAAATGAATGAATAAAAAAATCAAGTTTACCACGACACTTTAAATCTCGGCCAACGCGCTCATGTTTTTGTAATTGTTCACAGGAAAAGTCTGGATCTGGTGGAGAGTCTGCTTCGACTGTCTGAGGTGGGCCAGTACGAGCAGGTGAAGCAGCTGTTCAGCTTCCCGATCAAACACTGCCCCGACATGTTGGTGCTGGCGTTACTGCAGATTACCACCTCGTGGCACACACTGCGCCACGAGCTCATCTCCACCCTGATGCCCATCTTTTTGGGAAATCACCCCAACTCCGCCATTATCCTGCACTATGCCTGGCATGGACAGGTTGGTGTTTGTTATTAGATCTCAGTGTTGCTGGGTAACATGTTGTTTGAAGTCATGTCTTCAGTTAAGTGTTAAGTTTTCTACTAGTTTGGTGCGTCGTTCAAAAAGAAAATACTAAAAAAATCCTGCTTGCAAACAAAACTGTGTGTCTGTCTTGCAGGGACAGTCTCCTTCCATACGTCAGCTAATTATGCATTCGATGGCTGAATGGTACATGAGAGGGGAGCAGTATGACCAAGCAAAGTTATCTCGCATCCTGGATGTGGCCCAAGACTTAAAGGTTGGTTAGAATACTGCGTTCTCCTTGACCATTGAAGTTTTTGTACTCTTGTAACATCGTATCTGAATTTAAGGTAGAGGGTAAAGGTACACGCTGTATAGCATGTTAGTTCTCTCCTTAGAAACTTTTGATTTAATATTTAAAAACATTGTATTTGCTGCAATAACAGACCTCTGTATATAATCTGATTATTGGATTTAAAGAGTCCGTGTCTATAGTTGTAAAGGTGGATTATTAAATGTTTCATGTAATAAATGGAGACAAATTATTATGTGAACATGAATGTGTTTTTCCTCTCTACAGTCTCTATCAATGCTGCTGAATGGTACTCCGTTTGCCTTTGTTATTGATCTCGCTGCACTTGCCTCGCGTCGTGAATACCTCAAACTCGATAAATGGCTTACTGACAAAATTAGAGAGCACGGGGTAGGTCTTTAAACTAATGATTGCTAATCGATATGTCTTTTTAGATGGTTTCCTGTTTATGCTAGTGTAACATTAAACGTATTTCATGAAAAGTCTTGTTTTGTGTTAATTATATTTCTCGTTCTTGTGACAGGAACCCTTCATCCAAGCTTGTGTGACGTTCTTGAAGAGGCGCTGTCCATCCATTATGGGGGGTTTGGCTCCTGACAAGGACCAGCCCAAAAGTGCCCAGTTGCCTCCAGAGACTCTAGCCACCATGCTAGCCTGCTTGCAGTCATGTGCTGGGTGAGGAACTTTAAAGCCTGGTGTTTATCCCCTATTCGGATCCACTGCTTTTCCATTGCAATTGAGCACCACCTTTTGTGGTCATCATCATAGCAACACGAGCGAGCGTCCTGTGATGTAATGCGTATGCGACACACACACTACAACAAAGGTACAAGCAGAGGTGATCGTACTCGGGCCGCGGCTTTTTCTTAGTTGTAGCCATTTCCCTCGATGCCAGGTTATGAAAATGGTGATTGTGATTTTCGTCAACGTGCTGCTTTCACGACTCATCTCTCAATCAGTAACATGCACTCTGGTGACATCACATTTCAGTACCTGCTTGGATCACTTGAGCCTCGGCCGAGCGGGTACTATTTTAGTACCAGAGACTGTGGCGAGTTGATCCGAGCAGGTGCTAAAGGAAAAGGGGCTTTTGTTTGATGGCTCTTGGACTTTTGGAGCTTCGAGTGGAGCCCAACGTTGGTTCGATGCTGTGTAACATCCGTCTTACGTGTCTGTTGTTTTTGTTTTGAATCCTTAGCAGTGTATCCCAGGAGTTGTCGGAGACTATCCTGACGATGGTGGCTAATTGCAGCAATGTAATGAATAAAGCCCGACAGCCACCACCAGGTGTAATGCCAAAGGGACGTGCCCCGAGCACCAGCACCCTAGATGCCATCTCACCTGTACAGGTATCTTGCATATCATGTCTTTTGAAATACATTTTCATGATTGGTTAATTGGCTAATTTTGATATTAACACTTTTATAAAGTGTACAATAAATGTTTTGGGTTTCTGTAAGAAGCTGACGTTAGTAGCTCTGTTCCTTTCCTGCCTGCTTAACTTTCTTATGTCCCTTTGTTTAGATGGACCCTCTGAGTGGCATTGGCGGTTTGAATTTGGGGCCCTCAGCTACTTCCCTCAATCCAAGCATAAGTTTCCCAACCCCAGTGAATACACCTTTCAATAATCCCCAGTCTCCAGCAAAAGCCTTTCCACCACTTCCCAATCCTAATCCCAGCACACCTTTTGGGAGCATTTCCGGCCTGCCCTCACAACTCCCTGGTATGACCTCAGGTTTTTGTCTTTCAATCCAAACATGCTAACAAGTGTGAAGCAGAGTAGTTCAAAAAGTAAAGTTACATTCTTGTTCTCAGGTCCACTGGGCACGGGCATCGGTCCTGGTCTAGGGATGCCAGCAGGAAGCACTGATCCTTTTGGTCCCAGGAAGATGAGCACACCGGGCCTGAACCCACCAACCTTTCAGCAGAGTAAGATGAAGGCCTGTAAGTGGTGGTGGTAGTGGTGTGACTGAGAGCCCCGCCCCGCGCTGCTCAGCACTGTATTTCCTCTGCTTTTGACAAAAATCACTTACTAAAGAAATTGGCTTTCAGGGCACTTTGTCTGCCGCACCAAAACAGTTTCCTTAACGTGAGACTTTATTCCTGAAACAAGTTAATTGGTGATTTGTTTTACATAAAATGATTGTAGACTTCAGTGTGAGAGGAAATACAGATCAGTCTTCCATTCCTTGTCTGCTTTTGCTGACAGCCCCACTTTAATATTTTTCAGCTTCTTCAACATGACGTAATTGTCTACAGTACTGAAGTGTTAGAGGCCTCTAAGATGAAGAGACAATTGTTTTCTTTCACCCAGTCTATAAAGATGAACATGAATGATTGATGTTGGTAGGGCTGTTCGATATAACGATATAATCGGATGACGATATAAAAACGTCTATCGTTTCATTTTACGCTATCGTTTGTTTTGTGGTGTCGCAAAATAAACTGTTTACGGCGATATTTTTTCATGTTTTGATGTCACTGTAGTTATTATTAATGTCTTAAAGTTCTCTCTTTCTCTTATATTTAATATAACCACACTACAGACAGACAAGCGCCTATTTTTATGCGTTGTCGTTAGCAACAACGACGGTAAAACCACCGCGTGTCCGCTTGTTTATTTTCCACAAACCTTTCACAATAAAGCTCAAGATCCTGTTGAGACTTTTCAAAATAAACTGAATCACATGAAAGATACAGAGTATTTATGGATGAGAATTAAAAAAGAGAAGCCAGGTGCTAAAAAATAAACCTTAGACTCAAACGTTAGAACAGGCTTTTCCCCGCAGCACGCCGTGTAATAAATACTCACAAAGAAAACGGCGCCGTTACAACTTATGTCTAAAAATGTATCGTTTCATGCACGGTTAAAACACTCGACTCCAGCTACATGACGCGCAGCTGGAAACACTTCACGCAAGACGAGCTGCCCGAGATTCACAGACTTTACAGAAAATGTTACATTTTTGTGATTTATATCGTTATCGGACGATAGATGTTTTATATCGGGATGTGAGATTTTGGTCATACCGCACAGCCCTAGATGTTGGTGTTTTAAGTTTAACGGTGAAAGAAGTTGTCTCAGCTGTTATTGACCTCCAGCTCTCGCCTGTACTTTGGGCTGAATCAGGTCTTTCAGTTTCAGCTGTTGTTGTGTTTGCTCGCCTCTGTAACATTTCAAAAGGGCCCCTATGGGAATTTTTATTTAATTTTTCTTGTGTGTGAAGAAATTTTAAACAACACAAACAATGTGACATGAGTGTTGTAGATAAACCAAGACACTTTTGTGTTTATTATAGTGAAAATGAGTGCAGTCTTATTCATTGTTGGACTTAAAATGATCACTTATGGTTTTCTGTTCCCAGCCGACCTTTCTCAGGTGTGGCCCGAAGCAAACCAGCACTTTAGTAAGGAAATAGATGACGAAGCCAACAGTTACTTCCAGCGCATTTACAACCACCCACCTCACCCAACCATGTCTGTGGATGAAGTGAGTAGTTTTTCTGCGAATATCATTCCTCTTCAAATCGAATCCTTTCCACACTTGTCAAACAATTCGTATGTGATGTCATTGGACTCATGCAGGTCTTGGAAATGCTGCAAAGGTTTAAGGATTCTACCATCAAGCGGGAGCGAGAGGTGTTCAACTGCATGCTTCGAAACCTGTTTGAGGAGTACAGATTCTTCCCCCAGTACCCAGACAAGGAGCTGCATATCACTGCCTGTCTCTTTGGTGGAATAATCGAGAAAGGTCTCGTCACTTACATGGCCCTGGGTTTGGCCCTCCGATATGTTCTTGAAGCCTTACGAAAACCGTACGGATCCAAAATGTATTACTTTGGAATTGCTGCCCTAGATCGGTTCAAAAACAGGTACTAGCTTCTTCTTTTGCAAAACACGTGTAAGTATAAGGCGTTACGTTACAGCTGACATCTTTTTTTTTTTTTTCCTAGACTAAAGGACTACCCTCAGTACTGTCAGCACCTGGCTTCAATTGGTCACTTCTTGCAATTCCCCCACCATTTACAAGAGGTAATCAGGTTTCCTTAATTTATTTGTGGTCATTCTTTTTCTGTTATCAGCATTCATTAAGTTTTACTGAGTCCTCTCTCTGTCTGGAGAGAGAAGCGCGCCTTTGATTCAGCTAAATTAAATCTGTCGCTCTGCATCTTCAAATATCCTGTGTGTGCAGTATATTGAGTATGGACAACAGTCACGGGACCCTCCAGTGAAGATGCAGGGGTCCATCACCACACCTGGGAGCCTGGCTCTAGTACAAGCCCAGGCACAGTCGCAGCAACCTGCCGGCCTTAAAGCCCCACAGCCAGGCCAGCCCAGCACCCTCGTCACAACCACCACGACTACAACCACAGCCTCTAAGACGTCCACGATCGCAAGGCCGACAGCCACTAACTTCAAGAAGGATGTGCCTGTGAGTTCAGTTTTGACCGGACACCATGCGGCAGCATAGAGAGAGAGAGATATAGAGATATATCTAGATATAGATAGACACACAATAATAATAATAGTCTCCGTTCCTACCTACAGCCCTCCATAAACACTACCAACATCGACACCCTGCTGGTGGCTACTGACCAAACGGAAAGGATCGTAGAACCTCCGGAGAATGTCCAGGAGAAGATCGCTTTTATTTTCAACAACCTTTCTCAATCCAACATGACTCAGAAGGTAAAGACAAAAAACAAAACATTACTGCATTAGAACAACCTTAATAATCAAAGATGCTGTTTTTTAAAAGCAGAACATTTCTTTTGTCAGGTTGAGGAGTTGAAAGAGACGGTGAAAGAGGAGTTTATGCCCTGGGTGTCTCAGTACCTGGTGATGAAGCGAGTCAGCATCGAGCCCAACTTTCACAGCCTCTACTCGAACTTTTTGGACACACTCAA